AGCTCATCCTGTGCCCATGCCTACACAGAGAGGGTAGGGAGCATCATCCGACTATCAAGAGCTTATCCTGTGCCCATGCCTACACAGAGAGGGTAGGGAGCATCATCCGACTATCAAGAGCTCATCCTGTGCCCATGCCTACACAGAGAGGGTAGGGAGCATCATCTGACTATCAAGAGCTCATCCTGTGCCCATGCCTACACAGAGAGGGTAGGGAGCATCATCTGACTATCAAGAGCTCATCCTGTGCCCATGCCTACACAGAGAGGGTAGGGAGCATCATCCGACTATCAAGAGCTCATCCTGTGCCCATGCCTACACAGAGAGGGTAGGGAGCATCATCTGACTACCAAGAGCTCATCCTGTGCCCATACCTACACAGAGAGGGTAGGGAGCATCATCCGACTATCAAGAGCTCATCCTGTGCCCATGCCTACACAGAGAGGGTAGGGAGCATCATCTGACTATCAAGAGCTCATCCTGTGCCCGTGCCTACACAGACAGGGTAGGGAGCATCATCTGACTATCAAGAGCTCATTCTGTGCCCATGCCTACACAGAGAGGGTAGGGAGCATCATCTGACTATCAAGAGCTCATCCTGTGCCCATGCCTACACAGAGAGGGTAGGGAGCATCATCTGACTACCAAGAGCTCATCCTGTGCCCATGCCTACACAGAGAGGGTAGGGAGCATCATCTGACTATCAAGAGCTCATCCTGTGCCCATGCCTACACAGAGAGGGTAGGGAGCATCATCCGACTCTGTGTTTCATCTGACTCTGTGTTTCAAGAAAAGGAAACGTGTACTGCCATGAATAAGTTACAGTCAGTGCTGAATTCTAAGATTCCAGCCCTCTGCTCACACATTTGCCACAGCATGAAACTGTGTATCCCTTTCTTCCCTGTTACAGACGAGCACCAGTCTACATGCAGCTATTGAATAAACAGGTGTGACAGCAAACACCAGGCTTTCGGAAGTAGAAAGAAAGCAGGAGACTTGACGCCAGCCCGAAAGGATATTCTTATGTGTTATGTTTCAGACACTAAACAAAGGAAATAAGATCTAGGAAATTCAGACTTTACTGACTGAACTTTTCTAAAGAGGGCAAAAATACAAGGTCTGACATGAGACAGATTATTTCTCTGTCACGTGATTGTCTCGAACATAGTTGCTACGGTGAGTCTCTAGTAGACAGGAGAAAAAAGAGAAGTGGGGGGGGGTATAAGCTTTTTTTTTTAAGTACAGCCCAAATTTGTGTAATTACTTCCTCTCATATCCCATTGGCCAAAATCAAGTCACATGATCAATTCTATCTATCTAGAAGGCTAGAAAGTTTGACTTTTTCCTCACTAGCCAGAATTTATTGCAATTTATTTATTACTAGCCAGAGTTTATTACAATTAAAGAGAAGAAAATGAATATTGGGATTTATTATGTGTTGACTTCAAAGGAAGAACTCAGAAAGTTTCCATTTGTAAACAGTAATGATTGGCCAGCCTGATAAATAGAAAATCATGGAAATTTTCTGATTTGAAATTCTCGGAGTCAGAGCTTCCAGTTTAGCTGGTAAAGCCTGGTCTCCAGAAATAACAGCACAGAAGGGCAATAGACCATGCAGAACAGTATCAGGACCATCTATGAAGCTTCCTTTTAAATACGTGCATGTTCCTGTTGTGGTGGCTCATGCTGGTGAGATGTGCTGAAGAAGCAGAAGCAGGAAGTACACAAGTTCAAGGCCAGCCTGGGCTACACAATTTAGGGACTGGGGAGGGGACTCGGTGGTTCAAATCACTTGTTATTCTTACAGAGTTCAAACACATGTTCCACTCCCAGCACCCACATGGTGGCTCACAGCCATCCTAACTCCAGTTTCAGGGCATGGAAAGCCCTCTTCTGACATCCTTGGGCACTAGGCACACCCATAATGCACAGACATACATTCAAGCAAAACCTCACACATGTAATATAAAATAAGTAATTCCCTTTTTTAACTCTTAAATGTGAACATGTGAGTTTTGAACACCCCTGTTCAGTAATTCCCAGTGACAGGCTAGGCGTCTGATTATTTTAATCACCAAGAAAAATTAGGATGCACTGTCAGGACTTAGGACTGACGATTTAGAAGAATTTGAAGATAAACTTCACTTTCCAATCTTCTTCAAAAGCAAGAATCTGATGTCTTGTTTTGTCTGTTGTTTGTTGAGACAGGGTTTCACTATGTAGCTCTGGCTGTCCTGGAACTCTCTGTGCAGACCAGGCTGGTCTTGAACTCACAGAACTCCGTCTGCCTCTACCTTCCAAGTGCTGGGATTAAAGGCCTGTGCTACCACACCTGGCTAAGAAGACTGAGTCTAAATGACAGAATACAGTTAGGCTTTTCTAAGAAGGCTTAATCAGAATGGTACACAATATTGCTTCACACTTGTCCTTTACTTGTTAGACAAAGGACCAGCCACAATGACTGCTTCTGGTGCTCCAGGGTCCCACTGGTTCCTGGCTGATTCTCTTTATTCCTTAGCATGTGTTATATAGATCACAATTAAAGTAAAATATTGAATATTTGATGAATATTTATAGCACTCTTACTTTGTATTAGGGTCCACTTGGCATACAGACAGAGATAAATACAGGCAGCTTATTGAAGGCCTGCAAACCACTACCCACAAAACATCCTACTGAGTACCCTGCAGTTGATCAGGGCCCTGGGAATACCCAACTAACCACGAGAAAATCATTCTCCATTCCCTTCCCCCTCACTCTCCCTCCCCCTCCCTCTCCCCCTCTCTCTCTCTTCCCCCTTCCCTCCCCTTTCTATTTTCTGCTTTCTTTTATTTAAATTCCAATTTTTCTGAGATAGGTATGTAACACTCCAATCATGGTGGAAAATCGATCTTACAACAGGCTTTTTATAAAAGGTGTTTTGAAAGGCACTTTCCAATTCTTGGTCTTTTGTGAGATCAGAAATGAGCATTATGCAGACAGAGGCCTTTGACAGGTAGAGTTCACCTCAAGCAGAGAGCGGCTATGAAAGGCTGTGCCCTCTGAATTTCCCTGGATTTCAGGGCAGGAAATGTGGTCACAGAGAGATTTCACTGCGTGCCATATATGCACTTGAGGATAAGAAAGACACACATGTTTAATATGGAAAGGAACAATAAAAAAAAATGGGTTTGAGAGATGGTGAAGGAACAAGAAAAGAAAACTGTTCTCCTCGGAAAACAATTAGCTCTTTTGTCTGCAAGCCAAACAGCCTTGATTATTGAGGTTTTGGAGGCAAAACCTACATTATTTTCACGGCTTTCTCTGGTAACCTTCACCTTGCCGAGGCTATTAAATGCTGAGAGGGTAACTACTGTTTGTTCCTTGGATACAAAGACATTTCCTCTCTCTGAGTGTTTCTGTATTTCAGCTAAGGCCAGCAACCGCCCTCCTCCCTGCCAGTACTTGACAGTCAGCCCTGTGTGGAGGGCATCCTGACAGAGAGCATTCAAACACCAAGAGTCCACGAGCTTGGGGATGTGATTATTATTATTTTCCCAGTTTCTTCTCTTTCCTCCATTATGTTTTGTTTAGGCTAAAGTACTTTGCATTTCCCAGCACACATTGGGAGGAAGAGAAGCTGAGCCAAGAACAGAAGGGATGGGCAGGCTTACACTAAATTGAGAGTGTGTGCTTCCTTTCTGAAAAGGTCTTGTTGTGGACTCCATTAACAACACTGACCTTGGAAATCTCTGAGAAGTCTTAATATATCACTGTTGATTCTTGCTTAACAATAAGCTGTGGGGTTCATCATGGGATTTATCACTGAAGCTTTTCTCTCTAATCAGTATCCAATAAAACCTCCGTTTACATCACCTTGTAAATCCGAGTTCTCTCTGTACCAAACAAGAAACGGGAGAGGAGACAGCGTGTCTCCTCAGCGGCTGTGCTTCATAGTCTTTCCTTAGTGTTTAATGGTCATTGTGAGAATGTGTCCAACTCTGTATGTGGAAAGGTGGCATTTGTGTGCATCAGAAATAAATAGGAACATTATTAAATGTTTTGACGTTATTATATGTTGAAAGTAGGAATGCTTGGCCCTGTGACAGACAGACAGACGGCAGAGTGATGTAGTCACAGGACAATATAATGATCTAAATCCTGGTTCCCAACCAGAAATGATGTTGTCACTCGGAACATTTGTCAACACATGAAGACTTTTTTTTTTTATTTTCACAGATGAGGTGAGGAGAGGTACAATGCCTGTGGAGAGCCGGAGACGACACTAAATGTGAACAGTGAACAGATCCTCAGTCAGCTGGCTCTAAAGTCACCAGTGCTGAAGTTGAGACCTGTGCTTTCCAGGTCCCTTAGCGTAAGATTAAAGAACATCAGGATAAAGGGAACTATTTTTCACATGTGTGGTCAAACAGTTTCATCTATTTAAAATGAATTTTAGTCATTTTTCACCCTCCCATTCTCCTCTCTCACCCCCTTGCCCTCTCTTGCTGTAACCCTTCTCTTTAACTCCATAGACCACACATAAAAGTAAGACAGGAAAGTAAAAGGGGAAATGTTGCTGGGTCCTAACGGCTCCCTTGGGGGAGGGAGTGAGATGGCGCAGCGTCAATGGCACAAACACTGGGAGTCAGGTAAAAGGTAAACAGCGCCGGGCGGTGGTGGCGCACGCTTTTAATCCCAGCACTCGGGAGGCAGAGCCAGGCGGATCTCTGTGAGTTCGAGGCCAGCCTGGGCTACCAAGTGAGTTCCAGGAAAAGGCGCAAAGGTACACAGAGAAACCCTGTCTCGAAAAACAAAAACAAAAAAAAAAATGTGCTTTAGCCGGGCGGTGGTGGCGCACGCCTTTAATCCCAGCACTCGGGAGGCAGAGCCAGGCAGATCTCTGTGAGTTCGAGGCCAGCCTGGACTACCAAGTGAGTTCCAGGAAAGGCGCAAAGCTACACAGAGAAACCCTGTCTCGAAAAACCAAAAAAAAAAAAAAAAAAAAAAAAAAAAAAAAAAAAAGGTAAACAGCAGATTCATTTATTCAGCAATGGGAAGAGCCTTACATACCCTCCTCCCAGCACCCAGGCTGCATCCCTATCCAGTGACACTGAGTGGTCGCCCTTCATTGCCTAGGCACGATCAGGACCTCTGACAGTGCCTGTTTCTAGGCCCTCAGGCAGAATCCAGGTTGGTTCATCTCTCAGCGAGTAGGCCTTATCTTCCTACAGGGAAAGAGTTTCTTGTTCAAGCACAGGGTGGGATATGGGATAAACTCTTTTTAAAATTTTTTTGTGGTTAACATACAAAATATTGAGTTTAATTATGATATTTTCATACAGGCATATCATTGCACCTTGCTCATATTCACCCCTACCAGCTCCCCTGTCTGTCTATCCCCATCCTCAGTCCCCCCCGCCCAGTCCCCTCACCCTGTTGGTCCTCTCCTTCCCACTAAATGAGCTAGCTGTCTTTCTGAGTCTGGCTTATTTCCCTTAACGATCTTTTGTTCCATCTATTTTTCCTGCAAATGTCATAACTCTACTCTTCTTTACAACTAAGTAAAACCCATCATGTCATGAACCATATTGTCTCTATCTATAACTAACAGCTTTGCTGGTGGTTCCACATCTTGGCTATAGACATGGATGTGCAGCTGTGGTAGTCTGAATTAGACTCCTTAGGGTATAAACATAGGCACGGCATGGCTGGTTCACATGGTGGTTCAGTTTTAGTTTTTGAAGAATTTCTAGAGCCATTTCCCCAGTGGCTGCACCAGAGTACACTCTCACCAGCAGTGTGAAGGGTTCTTCTTTCCCCGTATCTTAGCCAGTGTTTGTCATCTTTGGTTTTCAGGATAAGAGCCACACCAACTGGGAAAGATGGAAAATCAGGACGATTTTCATTTGCATTTCTATGAAGAACTCCTTTCCCGAATTCTCCTGCTGCTGTTGCTCCTCAGATGTTCCCCTTTAATCCTGTAGATCCCACCCCACCCCCATCTCATGCCATAACCTATGTCCTTTGGCACAACAGCTGAAGTGTGGAAGAAGGCTCCTTCCCATATCCAAGTTCAATTGCTCTGTAACAGGGGTCCTCATTTACGAGAGTGGGAAAGCAAACCAGAAATCCCTTCACCTTTTTCATGACATCCCTCACCTGTGAGGTCTGATGCAATGACTCTTCAGTTGTGTCTGGGTACAGGGTGTCCAGGCAAGGTCATCAGCACCAACCTCTCCAAATGGTTGTCCACCATTGCACTTGCACTGGTCTTCAGTAACTTAGCAGTCGAACTCCATAGTGCTTGGTAGAGTAGGCTTTCTTCATCGTTCCAACCATCACCTGTTCTCATGACCTGCAGTTAACCACTTAGCAGACGCACCAGAGAGAGAAGCACCTCCCCACCCCTCTGGGTGGCTTTGTTCTTCATGCCTGCCCCAGATAAGAGGTCAAGACCGCAGGAACTTATGAAGCAAAGTCTTGAACCCACATGAAGTTGAACAAAGCCTTCTGTGGCCTGGACCACAAATGAAAATTAGGCTTCTTTTGCTCCAGGTTGAATTGACCAGCCTCCCTTTGAAGAATGAACAATGTGAAGAAAGAACAGCTCTTCCTCACCAGAGAACTGAGGTCCAAACAGGAGCCCGTGGTCCTCCAGTCACTCTGCGTCCAGGAAGGCAAAGCCAGCTAGATCTAACAGGCTTGTTTTTAAACAAGTAAAACCCATGTTGAATCCTCACACTACATAAGCCAGATGTAAGAGCACATGCCTACAATCCCAGCACCCCGGAGATGGAAGCCGAAGATCAAAAGTTCAAGAGCAGCCTGGGCTACAAAGAGGTCTTGTCTCAAACAAATGCTCATAGAAGACCTATAAGAAGACCAGGCGGTGGTGGTGCATGCCTTTAATCCCAGCACTCGGGAGGCAGAGGCAGGCAGATCTCTGTGAGTTCGAGGCCAGCCTGGTCTACAGAGTGAGTTCCAGGATAGGCTCCAAAGCTACACAGAGAAACCTTGTCTTGGAAAAAAAGGAGAAGACCAGGAACAGTGTATACAAGAGCTTCCTCCTGAGCTTGCAGCATCCACTGAGCTGACTTGACTGGGCATCCACATCAAGAGACTCAGCCCCATGGCTCTCTACAACACAGAGGTACAGGGAGTGCCTGCTTGAGGAAATGACAGAGAGAGTCCCTTCTTCCATGGGACGGCTTAGACTTCCTGAGCCAGCTCTCTACTAAGCTAGGGGTAGGGGAGAAGAAGCCTCTGGGGATATGGGGTTTGGTTTCTCCACTCCATAGGGAACGGGAGGAACTAGACAGAGTGGTAAAGAGCACAGCATATTGCACGTAGTTAAAGCCTCTATTTGTTCACAAAAATCTGTATTTGGATTGTAAGCGTCTGTGCATATGTGTCAAGCAGTGAAGTAAAATATGTCTCTGAGGTTTCAGTCAATGGGCATGAAAGTCAAGAGCCTAGATTGGAATCAACATCTCTCTCTCTCTCTCTCTCTCTCTCCCTTCCTCTCTTCTTCCCTCCATCCCTCCCTTTCTCTCTTTTGCTCCTTCCCTCCAGACTCACTCATATGCATTAATACAAGAGAAGCAATATAGGAGATTTGTCTATTATAAATTTGGGAACCAGCCACCAACTAAGTACCACACAATGTGTTTCACACATTTCATCTTAGCTGATCCCAGCGGCCACATGGGTCCACCATTCCCATTGGACATATACTAAAGCAGAGACTGTAAGATGGTGTAATACACTCTAGGTTTTACAACAGGAAAGGAAATGTCAAAGCCAGAAGAGAAAGTAAACCTCCTGAAAGGCTCTCTCCACCACATCACCAGTCTTAGTCTGGCGTCTGTATAATGAAATGGTATGCCAAAGACGACAGGAAAAGCTTTGGTCTCCATGCCTGCAGAACAGAGAAGGACAGACATGTGGTCAGAGTCTGAAACTGAGATGACTGTCCAACGGAAAGGCAAAGGGCACAACCCTGCGGGATGCTCTCTCCCATAGACATGGACCTAGGCTCCAGCTACCACAAGGAGAAAGTGTGGTCTTAGATGCTCTGCCTTCCATCTACTGATGACAAGAGCCGGAGAAGAACCCAGCAGAGCGTCTTCAGGACTCTGGGGAGCTAGGGGAATGAGAGTCTCCAGCTCTCTCTAAAAACAAGAGGTTTTGAGATGTTTTGTTTTCACAGTTGAGACCTGGTTGAATTCTACAGCATCTGTCACACACAAGCTCCCCATTACACCTACTCTGGGCCTGCCATTCCTGCTGTGAAGGCAAAGCGGCACGTGGGAGGAAGCGTCTGCCTGTCACACTCCACCACGTTAAGGGACAATTTAACATCCATGTGTTTCAGTTTCCTCATCTGAAAAAAAAAATGAAAACAATAACCATTTTGTGGGATTTTCCCTGAGGTTATATAGTCCTTGACACAGAAGCCCCCATTAAATGCCTCCTGTTAGGGTAGTGACGTGGTTGCTACACATGGTTGTTACATGTGGTTGCATTTTTGCTCCCAAATCTCCCTCTTCCTTACCTTAAAAAAATGACTTTGAAGTTAGCTACCATTGGACACAAATGATAACATTGACCCCGCAAGCACAAATGTACTGAGAACCTCATTTGAGGACTCTGGCCCAGTCTTTATCGCAGGCTTCAAACTGTGCCCAGCACCTCACTTCCCTCACCACAAGTCTGATTCCCTGAGGTAAACTTCGAGAGCCTTCCTTGTGACTACTTGAAGCACTACAGGGCTCACTCCAGGACAATACGAATCTAAATAATTCATGAGAGTTATGCCTGCAATTGACAAGGACAGGGAAATTGCATAAGAGCCGCTTATTCCTCACATGCCTTTATGTGGGCTCTGATAACACAGGCAGCTGGCAGAGAATTCTGTAATGAAAACAAGAGCAAAATAAAGTAAAAAAAATAACTCCAGAAAAGATATTTAATGGACAGTTAAGTCCAAAGGGGTTGCAAAAGTAATAGGCACCAGGAAAATAAAAATAGGTGATGCTCTCCACTTATTTAGTCTGCTTTGGAGATGGTCCCATTTCCTCTGATTTAAGGACCAGGCCATTCTCATGTCCAGAGTGTATGCTAAACAGAGTAGTTTTCTGCATGTAGAAGTCAGAAGGGTTTTTCAGTAATGCCAGTATGAGTGCTTGCTGCCATGAAATGGTAAAGATATTCAGCATTTCCCTAACGCAATTTGAAAGCATTGTACTACACAGATAAGGGCCATGCAACCACACTGGGTCAGTGCAAGACTAGACAGGTTGCAATGACCCTTGTTCTCCTTAAAATGCATCATATTGGCAAAGTGAAGAAAAGTGTGTCTCAGAGGGCCAGCATGCTAGGTGAGCCAGATGCCCAGCCATGTAACCTGTCTGGACTGCCAAAACTTAGTGGCTGTTAAGTCATAAGTCCATTGCCTGCACCACCTACCCCCACCCATGTGCACATGTGTGTGTGTGTGTGTGTGTGTGTCTGTCTGTCTGTCTGTCTGTCTGTCTGTGCAATACATATGTGTGGAGGCTAAAGGTCCCTGTTGGGAGTCTTCTTCAATTATTCCCCACCTTATGTGGGGGAAGAGCACTCTATGATCATAGGCAAGCACCACCATGCCCAGGTTTTTCCATGGATCCTGGAAGTCCAAGCTCAGGTCCTCATTTCAGTACGGCAAACCCTTTACCAACTGAGTCATCTTGCCAACTCCCATTGCCTTGTTCAGATTTATTTCAAATGGCAACATTTTCTTATCTCCAAGCATAGTGTCTCTGACTTTCTTTACCCAAAGCTACTTTCCCTTCATTTTCGTCAAGCAAACACCTCTCCATCCATTAAAGTTCAAGTCAAGTGTCATCTTTTAATGAAGGCTTTTCTTTTCTGGAACCTTCCTCTCCAAGCTCATATAATCATCCTGAGTAAACCCTAATAACACCTCTTTTAAACCTTTCCAATAGTAATAATCACCCCATGCCTTGCCGGCAGTTATTTTTCTCAGGCTTTTTATTTAATCAATTCTTACTTTCCTTCTATCCTATGAGCCTTTCTAAGACAGAGGACTATGTCTCAATTCTCTTTACACCTCTTCTAATACCGGGCAGTGATCCCTGCACTTGAAGATACTCAATAAAGATAGCTGAATTTATCAATAACACATTCCCTCTGACCCTTCGGGACTTGCTATTCATCTTTGTATCATTCCTGTACTTCCGCTCTCACCCCGGCTCACAGGAGTCAACACAAAGTGACCTCAAATATCCCTTGAAAATACCAGGAGATCAGAGGTTAGAAGTTTGACACTTCGTTTGTAAAAGGTTGCCACCTTTCTTTCTCCTTAGGAGTTATGGGATTGGAAATCTCAAAAGCGCTTTCTATAATGCTTGAGTCTGGGATTCAGTGAACTTCTCAAGGGCACAGATCAGGTAAGGGCAGACACAGGACTGAAAATCTAAGATGACGCGAGCTAGCTCTTGTGTTCATCAATCTGCCATTAGAGGTAATGTTAAAGTTTTTCTCTTTGGGAGGTCTTGGGTTGATTTACTCTAGAAATGTGACATTTTCTAAAGTATAAGCCTAAGATATTAATCTCTTCAAAGAGTAATATTTATAAGAAACCTCAGATCCGCTTACATAGTTACTTAAACAGCCTACACCTTCTCCTATGATAACCCAGACTTTCAATGATGAGTGGATCAGATTTCAATACACACAATCTAGCCTTACTCATGACAAAAAACCTCCAGGTTCTGTTAGCGCTACCACAGACATCCTTAGAAAAAAACTGGAGTTCAAGGGGAATAAAATGTTCTGCTGATTTTATTCTCAGTAGAACTCAAACCACAAGCCAAAGTCATAGATGAATAATGCTTCAAATGAACTGAAAGTAATGAATCAATAACACGACTGCAAATCCTGGGGAATGAATCAGAGTTCTGAAAAATCTTCACAGAGGCTTCTCTTCCGGGGAGCCATCTCAGCATCTAAATGTATTTATTATGGGCTCACTGCAGTTTCTATAGAGTAGAAACTAAGCAAGACCCTTCCAGCTCAGTTTCATTTTTCATGTGGCTGGTTATACTCTCCTTCCTATTCCCTAGTTAAAGTACGACTGAAAGTGTATCTTCAAAAATTAAGAGATTTTTATACCCTGTGGTTTGCTGATGTTTACAGCATCCTTAAACTCCAAAGTTACGATGACCTTACGCTTCAGCGAATTTATTTACTAAGTTGGGTTTCTTTGTGATGCCTTGAGATGTGTGTCACTCTCCTCAAGGTGATCGCCTTGCAGATGAGCATGACACAGCACTATACCTTGCTTCTTCCATTTCTTGAGGTTCAATACCAAATGCCGACTATTGTATTCGATTTTAATAAACGCCATTGGAATATCTTAACACAGCTCCCATAGGCGTACACAGCCAAAGAGAAGTGAAAGCCCCTTCTATTATTGTGGTAAATTCAGAAGCCTGACTACACAAAGCCAAGGAGAGTCAGATAAAGGCGGGTTTATCTTTTTAGATCTCTTTAGATAATGAGAGGTCATGCAAACACTCTCCTCATTTTGGAATAGATGAAATTCATTGATGAAATCATGTAGCTATCTTCAATGTCAGCATGAAAAGATGTGAATGCTGGTTAAAACCAGGTACTGCTGCCAAAAAGTGGGTCCGCTTATCTTGAAACAAATGGGGGAAAAAAATCATCTTTTAAGATTGGTTTCAGGAAAAAATCCTGCCAAATCCTTGATCTTTTTAAGGTGGGCTAGTTCTTGGCAGGTCAAAATATACCAAGCAAAAGCTAAGGTGTTCCTCATTACCTCCACTCCATGGTACCAATATCCTCATGTGACATCCTTCCCTTGACTCGGGGGAAGGATGGGTCTGGAGCTTGCTCCTGGCTAGAGAGTATTACATGTACATGATCAAGTCACAAAATCAAGCATCTTTCTGCTCAGCTCTTGTCCTTGTTGGCTTTGAGGAAGCAAGCAAGTCACCCTGGGAAGACCGAATAGCAAGGAGCTAAAGGCAGCCTGCAACTCACAGGCCATGCTTGAGAAAATCAAGCCCGCAGTCAGCAGTCTCTATAGAGGACTGAACAGTGTTCCTGACTGCTTTAGGAGCTCTAACTGTTCTGATGAGACTCAGACCTTAAAGACGACCTAACTAAGCCAAGTGCAGACTCCTGACACACAGGGATTGAGACAGAATGCATGACTTTTCTCCAAGAGATATTCAGGGTCCTGTTTATTATGCAGTAATCCTCTTCAAGAGCATGACTCCAATAACCCAAAGACCTCCCCCTGAGCCTCACACCTAAAAGTTTCTACCACCTCCAGTAGTACCAAGACTGAGGATCAAACCCTAAACATGTGAGTCTTTGAGTGACACCTAAATCCAAAATCCAAACTATAGTCCATTCCCTCTTTAAAGGGAAAGAGAATAAAATAATTTCCTCAAAGCAAGCTAATGTGTGGAAACTGCACAGTTAACCTCAGTTTTATAAAGCATAGCCACACTCACAAACTATTTAATGAAATAGTGACTAGAAGACAGCTATTGGGGTCGAGGTGGGGACTGAGACAGGGTCTCACTTTATAATAGTCCAGACTGGCTTTGAACTCATAACCCTCCTACCTCAGCCACCCCAAAATAGCTACTCTAATGACCAAATTCACAGATAAAGAGGCTGGGCTGTAAGAATTTCAAAACTAGCCACGGTAATGAGCAAGTGGCAACCAAAGTGTCTCAGGCGCCCTCATCTGCTGTTCCTTCTCAGTTGTCTCTCTGCAGTCCCTGGCTGGCTGTGCCGTGTGGCTATCTGGAAACCCGAACGAAGCCATACCCAAGAGAAACCTGGAAACTCTTGTGAACGATGCCGTCACCAGCAAGACACTGCGCGTGCACTCACAGGCCCCTCTGTGAAAGACCACGCTCACCTCCACGCAGTATTTCCAGGCTCATGCAGTGACAATTTAGATCACTCTGCGGTCACACCTCGTAGGCAGATACAAAGCTAACATACTGACTATGAGGTACATAAACTCTGTGAAATTTTATTCTCCAAACTATAAAAGAAAACAGTGTTATAGGAGATCACCATTTCCAAAAGCGTACTCCAGAGAACACTGTCCCAATAAGACATTAGAAAGTAGTATCCAGCCGGGCGGTGGTGGCGCACGCCTTTAATCCCAGCACTCGGGAGGCAGAGCCAGGCGGATCTCTGTGAGTTCGAGGCCAGCCTGGGCTACCAAGTGAGTCCCAGGAAAGGCGCAAAGCTACACAGAGAAACCCTGTCTCGAAAAACCAAAAAAAAAAAAAAAAAAAAAAAGAAAGTAGTATCCAGGTGGAGGGGGATTTTTAGAGAATCAAATGATTTCTCACTGTCTGCAGCACTCCAGGTGGCCCACAGTCAACATCAACACATTAGAGTGCCTGAAAAGTATGACATTCTGCCAACCCCAGTGATGTCCAAACTTTTTAACTACATATGCAATCTTTTTTTTTTCTCCTGGAAACACTTACTAATGTCTGCTAAGGCTCTAATTTCTACTTGGGAAATTCTATGAATTTGCCTCAAGGTTAATTTTCATTTCACGGGAGGTTAAAAATTAAGTTTGACCTATAAAGTAAGTTAGAAGTAGTTTGTTTAAATTATACAGAACATGAAAGGCAGTTGCAGATGTCCCCAAGAGCACACATTTTTTCTCTCTGTTTCTAATCCATCAATTTTACCTGTCCATTATCTGCTCATTCTTCACAAGGCACCTTGAGTCAATGATTTTGATGAATCCAAGAATGTACAATAACATTTGGAAACAATCAACCAATTTCCAGAACACCTCTTCGGGATGGTTTCATGAACCAGCTTGCCTCACGCAACCGCACATTCACTACAAAAGAAGAGAAAAGGGCAGATACATTAAGTTGCTATTATACAAGTAGTCTCTGACGTTTCCCCCATGTTGCTCCCTTATTTCAGCTAAATAACCATGTTCAAAGGGTATATTAATCCCATTGACCTTTGCAGAGCTTTGTGGAGGGCTCTTGATGTTTTCATTTTTTTCCTCTTTTTTTCCATATTAAAGTTTTTGGTGGAATTTTCTCCAGTCAGTTTTGTGGTCTGTAAAGAGGAGACGATAAAGGAAGCTTAATGATTCAGTTCATTTTCCCCTTATCAAGCTGCTGCCTACGCAGCTAACTCATTAGTACCAGAGAGAACAAAAAAGCCTTTAGGAAAACTGTGGGGGCCACTTCCAAGCAGTTCTTTTGAACTGTGAGTCACCATGACGCCAACTCCAACTTTAGACCAAACATTTAACTGCTTGTTAGGCTTTGGGTTTTGTTTTGATCTTGCTGAGGGTGGGTGTTTATCTGGGGCGTTGTTTGGGGTTTTGTCTGTTTGTTTGTCGTTTTTTCCTCTCTCTGTTTTTTTGTTTTACTCTTTTGAAAGAGCATCTCATGTCGCCTCAGCTTTGTAACCAAGGCCTTGAACCCCTCACACCACACACACACACACACACACACACACACACACACACACACACACACAAACACACACACATACACACACACACATACACACACACACACACACACACACACAAACACACACACATACACACACACACATACACACACACACATACACACACTTCCCAAGTAGTGGGATCATAGGTGTGTAGTGTGATGCTCACCTCACAAAACCAGAGAGGGCTGCCTCACATACGTGCTGAGAGGAACATGTGAGACAATTTATTTAAAAAAATCCCTGTACCTGGAACTCTGCTTTCTGAGATGATGCCTCACCTAATTGCTATAATAAAATGTATGCAGTATCTTCTAACGTTTAAATTTCTACAAATGAAGGAAGAGAAAGGTTATTTGCCCAAGATCCCCCAAGCTTATCAGGGCAGAAGCAGGGATTTGAACTCATTTAGATTAGACTCTGTTCTCCCATGGTACTGCAGAGGTATAGTGTGCCTCAGTCCAAGGTGTTATGTGAGCAGAAAAATTAAATAGATTGAAAGTAATAAAATTTAAAACTTAAGCCCTGTCCTTAGGCACCACTTTAAGTAGGCATAATTGACCTTAACCTTCCCATCCATTTCCAAAGAACAATGATCATGTTGCTGTGGTAAGTTCAGGGGTCTCCTCACAGTGTCTCCCAAAGACCTCCTGCCTCAATAGTATCCCACTTTCTAGATCAATGCTGTGCAGCTTCCCTCCTGCCTCAATAATATCCCACTTTCTAGATCAGCAGCTCTGTGGGCATGCTGTGGATAGTGATGAAACAGAGAATATGCAACTAGAACAGAAATCAATATGCAGCTTTCTACGGGAAAGGTTTGATAGCAACACACACACACACACACACACACACACACACACGCACACACACACACACACGTTTCCAGATCACACTTTGTGCGGAAATATTCTAATACCTTCTTGTTCTAGAACATTCTCAGCCCTTTCTTGTCCCTCCTTCCTCGATGGAATGTGTCCATTTCCTATTGCTATTTTCTGTCACAGAACTAAGGAATTAATTTGGGTAAAAGTAGTGGTGCTCCTAACAGCTAATGTTTAGTGTCTCTAAGTGAAAAACTGATCACTTAGAATCGGACTATGACAGATATTCCTTAACTCAGGAAATCATTTCCATGGTGGGGATTTTAGGTGCCACACAAATCTGGATAAATATATGTTAGAGAAACAAATGAATATTTAGGTGCTATAAAAATCACTCTACACTGCCCAGTGTGCATATGTCTAAGTATGCCTTCATTTGAAGGGTCGGAGCCAGAGTAGTGAGGCCTAGGATGTAAGGGTTACAGGCAGCAGCAAATGGTTCTTCAGTCTAAACAGTCCCTCTGAGTCTTCCAGGAACAGGCAGGAGGAATTGAAGTATTAGTTTACTTCCGAGTTTAAGCTCTGGGCTCAAAGAAGAGTGCCTGGTGGATAGTAGGCCTTCGGTCCTTCGGTAGAGGGATTTGCCTCTTGGCAGGGGCTCACCAGGTTCCTCTTTTGTGCCAGGCACCTGTCGTCTATCAGGGAATGAAAGAGGTAAACACTCTGGCCGTTCTGGGTCTCTTGAAGCTCACATTCTATGTGGGGGAGGACTGATTGTGGGGGGGAGGAGATAAAGAACTGGGGCAAGAGGAAGTGGGGAAAGGTGTGCCTTTCCCTGTATTTTTTCCGTTTTGTACTGACCTGGAAAGTTATGGAATCATGCTTGGCCTGTGGCAGGCCTGAGCTTGGGAACCGGGCTGTGTTAAGGAAAGAGTCCCTTCCTGGGGAAAGACTCCAATTCAACTCTCTCAATCTTTAAGGAAAAGTAAATAGTCCATACCTTACGATAGTCTGAGCTGAAGAAGGAATAATGAGTAAGAAATCGCAACCCCCGTTGTGGTCCCACTTCTGCTCTGAGCGGCCTTGGCCAAGTTGCTCACCTCTGTGACCTCAGAGTCCTCACCTACAGAGAGGAGGAGAAGCTGGTGCCCTCTGAGTTTCCTTTCAAGCCTGTGATCTCTATGACAGGTAACTCATGTAGAGTCTGAGGAAACACTGAAGGAAGACCCCAGACTCTAACAGTCTGTAAGAACAAAGAATGTTTATAATACCAGCCTGCATGTGGAGCTGTTCACCGGTGCAAATGTTAACAACCCTGACAGGGACGTTCAGTCTCCTTTTAAGCACGGCTAAGGGGTGTTTCAGGGTCAGCTACATAATTGGTTAAGCAAGCAGCAGTTACATTAGTATATTTCTAATTGGCTGAGGCTTAGTCTTACCGTTTTGGA